CTGCAGCATATGCGATCTGCAAGCATATGCCAACTGCAAGCATATACCAACTGCAAGCATATGCCATCTGCAAGCATATGCGATCTGCAAGCATATGCGATCTGCAAGCATATGCAGTCTGCAAGCATATGCAGTCTGCAAGCATATGCGATTTGCAAGCATATGCAATCTGCAAGCAAATGCGATCTGCAAGCATATGCGATTTGCAAGCATATGCAATCTGCAAGCAAATGCGATCTGCAAGCATATGGGATCTGCAAGCATATGCAATCTGCAAGCATATGCAATCTGCAAGCATATGCAATCTGCAAGCATATGCAATCTGCAAGCATATGCAATCTGCAAGCATATGCAATCTGCAAGCATATGCAATCTGCAAGCATATGCAATATGCAAGCATATGCAATATGCAAGCATGCGCAATATGCAAGCATGTGCAATATGCAAGCATGCGCAATATGCAAGCATGCGCAATATGCAAGCATGCGCAATATGCAAGCATGGGCAATATGCAATATGCAAGGATATTGTATATGCAAGCATATGCAATACGCAAGCATTTGCAATCCGGATCCGGATGCACCGGACCCGGACGAGAGCTACGGCACCCTCGGGACCGCAGGGACCGCGCCTCGTACTATTACGAGGCTACTTCGATACTACGGCAATACTACAACAATACCACTACAATACCGCTATAATGCGAATATGGTGTTTCAGGACACAAGCTCCAAACATCCTGTGGTGTAATTCTGCCTTAGTGGTACACCTGCGAAGTGGAGGGCCTATGGCTTAATGGATAAAGCGCCGGTCTACGGAACCGGAGATTCCAGGTTCGATCCCTGGTAGGCTCGAAGGAATTACCTGGTGTGCGAAGCAATTCTGAGAGGTAGTGCATGTCTCGCACATTTTGGACGTGCACAGGTGAGGCATACACATATCCAGGCATCGTGGTCATCTTCCACAGAGATGACTCAGGCATGCGGTGCTCTCGCGACTTGTGCTCCAAGGGGGGGATGGGAGGATGACAACGAAAGTCGCTCCTGGCACAGAAAAACTATAGGAAGAGTCCACGCGTCCCCAGGCTTAGGCAGACTCCTCCGCACCTGTGTGGACAGTCTATCTGAGACAAAACGACGAATGACACGCTACCAGGCTGGGGCCCACCTAATGCTGAAAAGACACATCAGCATCACTTGTTGGAGACATGTCCAGCTGCTGATCAACCCAGGGAAGCCCCCTATTATTCACCCCACTCACCTATGGAATCCCCCTTATTGTCCACCCATTCCCAACATGGACACCAGGACCTATGCATGCAGATCCCACAAAAGGAGCATCAAGTGATGCATATGCCATAATCAGCCGGCCGTTCAATACTACTGTGTGGGATGNGGCCAGGTCGGGAAAAGGTTGATGGCCACATTACGCAGCATCCAACCACAACGAAAATGTTTAAATTGGATGTGATGGTCTTGCATGCAGCCCAAGCTTGTTGG